ACACACACACATTTGTTAAGCGACCTTGGGTACCATGAAAGGCGCTATATAAGTACAAGTTATTATTATTATTATTATTATTATTATTATTCCATTTTTACTAAACTAGACCTCCGAAGCAAGTATAACCTCATCCGGATAAATGAGGGGAACGAGTGGAAGACAGCATTTGTGACCCCTGCAGGACACTATGAGTACTGTGTAATACCGTACTGACTGGTCAGCATATTCCAGGGACTTCATGAATGAGGTACTCCGGGTGTTCCTGAACCCGTTTGTGGTGGTATATCAACGACATCTTGATATACTCACGGAGTCTGGCAGAACATCCCTGCCATGTTTCGGAGGTCCTACAACATCTGTGTGAGTACCAACTGTTCCTAAAAGCTGAAAATTGCAGTTTCCATCATTCCTTCATCCAATTCCTTGGTTTTTGTATTCACATGGAGTCTGACAACAGCCGGTATTCTCCACATGGAGATCTGATCTCACCATCATCGAGTCCATCTGGGATTACATGAAGAAACAGAAAAAACTGAGACATACTAAATCCAGAAGAACAGTGGCAACGTCTCCAAGACGCTTGAAGAAACCTACCTGCAAAGCTGAAAAACCATGTGCAAGTGTACCTAGGACAAAAGTTGTTTTAAACGCAAAGGGTCACACCATATATTGATTTGATTTAGTTAATAGAAGTTAATTGATAAAAAATAAATCTATTTATGGAATTATTTTTGAAAGCCTCCTCACTTTACAGCATTTTTACACAAGTGAGTAAAACTTTTCACAGTACTGGAGCTTTGCAGGTATGTTTCTGTATATGTACTGTATATACGTAAGTTCATGACTTCTTTTCTGTAATTCTGCTTGACAATGACAAACTCAAGCTGATGATTTTAGGTGGTACAAGGTCATTGACCATTCTCATTCATGTGATATCCTGTCACTTATTGCAGTGGATGTTTGTGTACTGCTGATTAGGTTGTTACGTATAGCGAATCCAGTACCATACAGCCTTGATTCATCAACTGGCTTCCCAAACCAGTAAATTGTAAAATTCACCTTCTTGATGGTACCTGCTCTTGCTAATCTTATCTCTTAAAGAGCAGTGACATGGACATTTCGTTTGGACAGTTCATTATCAAGGACAACTGTCTTTCTAGCATTAATATTTTCACAGACTAGACCTTTGTCTAACCACAACTATCCTCTCCCTATGGAGTATCCCTTTCCCACTCTACAGATAAAGCGTTGTTGAAAATCCGGTTCGCGTACCCCGAAGTGATAAAATAAAATTCGGTATCAAATTTATAGGCAACACAAGTAGTTTGTTTAGGCATGGTTTGTAGGGAAATTACAAACCTGCGCACACATATTCAAACGAATATAACTATAGAATCAATTTTTAATGCGCATGTGAACGCCATCAGGTCACAGGTTCGCGTTTAAAGTCTGTTTAGAGAGAACGCCGTCGTCTTAGTGGCCCCTAATGTAATAACAAATGATAATTTAGCTGGAAGTGAATCAATCAAAACCAACTTTAGCCGGAAATAACATTATTCAAAATCGCTATAAAGCCAAAACAATCTCTGTTACCGTAAATTGTATGTTTATCTCTGTAAAGCTGCTTTGAAACAATCTCCATTGTTAAAAGCGCTATATAAATGAAGATGACTTGACTTGACTTGACTTGACTTTGTATGTGGTCATTCCAGTGGTCATTGTCCTTACATTCCAAGTTAAGAAAATGGGTTTCGACTTTTTGGATAGGATAGAACACCCATTCTGGTAGTGCTGTGGTGAGTGGTAGCACCGTATTGGTCAGGGGCTACCTGAATTAAAGAAGGCGGTATATTAACATGAATTGGTCCCACCCACTCTAGAATGAGATCCCTAGCATCATCCCCATTACTCTAGCTTATCACTGGTAACTACCTCAAACTGGGTTTTTGATTTCTGCAAAGTCATATGGTTTCCTCTGCCGAAGAAGTGGTTTGTCGGCTTGTTTGTCACTGCCAGGACAGTTTAAGATACATTGTTTGGTCCTAACACTTTTCAGCGGCTTCTCTCATCTAGGTCCCACTTGATCAGAGGAGAGATTTATTAGAAGTGCTGGAGCTCGAAAGCCTTATTGTGGCCCCAGCTCCACTGAGTGGCTGTTAACCTTCATCTAGTAGGTTACTAGTGAGAAGGTTCCTCCGCTCATAGAACGATGGTGGGAACGATCAACTATTGGTCAAAGTACCCTATCGAGACATCCCCTGTAGACAGTTTCCTGCAATTTAAATCAGTGTCAGTGTGCCTGCAGGTATTAACTGACAGGTCTTCTATTGTGAGTGTGTAATCCATATGCTCACCTAACAATTCGGCTAAATTAATTACTATTACTCAGTACTTAAATGCATAGTTATACTGTAACAAGGACACCTTAAAATAAAGTATAACCAAATTTTAAATTTTTGGTGAACTATCTCATTAATTACTAATCAGTGGCTTATGTAACTAGCTTATGTAAGCTAGAAACATGTGTATTATGCTTAGGTCATGTTGTATTGTTTCAGCTTTGGTTCCTCCAGCTGTGAGTGGGATCCAGCTGGTCTAAAAATGTTACAAAAGCAAAAAATGTCTGCAAATAAGCCAGACTATTTGCCAGTTTTGCTCTGTCCACTTGTTGAGAAATTCAGAGTATAGCACATTTTTCCATCTTGTACTGTCTTACTGTCTTCATTAAATGTCAATAATATGTATTATTTACACTCATGCAATGAACATTCAGCATTGTAAAGCTGGCAGGTTTTGGAGTAGGCATGTGCTGACACATGCGGCCACTAAAAATAGTACTTTCCAAGTTGGAACAAAGAGTTTTGGAATTATGATAGGCTATGTGTGGCCATTTTATTTCCCTTCACTTTCTTACTATCTAGAAAAAAAAACATATTTCATGTAGTTTAACTTAAAAGAGCAGTCATGAATGACCAATGTTGTGAAAAGTTATTTTAAACATGACTGTTTTGACTGTGAAGCACTGGTTCTTACAGTGAGGATAAACCAGATGTTTAAAATCAATCAATATTGAAGGATAAATTATACATATTTCAGATATAATTAGATAGGACTTCCAAATTTATAAATATAACCATTTATAAAAAATAAAAAAGAGAAAGAAAAATAAATTACTCTCATTAGAGAAGAAATTCACACTTAAACTTGATACTTTAAGAAAATAATAATTTTCATTGTGGAGCAGAGATGCAAAATTATTATTATTATTATTATTAATAAGCTATTTTACATAAAAAGGGAAAATATTATGTATGGTACAGGTTTAAAAACTGTCACATAACATTCAATCTAATATGATGGATTTATAGGGCTCATACTATACAGTATCTTGGTTAAGTTGAAAATGTCATTTTCAGCTGATAAAACACATGAGGAAAATGCCATGTGCATTCTGAAGTTATATGAAAAGATGAATATATGTAAATCTGTTTCGATATGAGATTTATTTTCCAAATCCCTTGAAGTATAATATGAGAAACACAATGTATTTTTCAAACAGTTGGATCATTTAGCTGTTAGCTTGTGTTCATAACAGATGGCCCCTGCGTCAGTCAAATCCCTGATTCCCCTAATTAATAGTTTCCATAATGCAGATCTCCTGTTTTGCTTGTTATGTTGATGTGGTCCAAACACAGATCTACACTGGCAAACGGAAAGCACGTTTGAGAGCTCACAATGAGACATTCATCCACAACAATGCGGCCCCTTTACACAGCATGACCTTACAAAACCCAGCAAGCTACTATTGACATGGAAAACAACTAGCAAGCAAGTAAAAAACTCTGAAACCAGAAGAGAAACTAGCTGTGCTTGCCCAGCCCAACATGTTCCTGCTTAATGCGAGAAAGAGAAATGTGTATTCATGTCAGTACACTGAAAGTACATGTGACTAGCTTGTTTAAATGTTTCCATAGTTGAGGGAAAAAAAGAGGAAGATAAATGCTTAAAGAAGAAGTCTGTATTTCAAACTAGCTTAAAGACCCCTGGTGTTGAAAATCAAGCTTTTAATGTTGTTTATATGTCTATGTGGTGTGTTAAATATGCTTTAAGACCAACCATGTGCAAATTCATAAGTAAACACCATTGCTGAGTATTTTCTCCATAAAACTGCAGTGAACCAAAGACAGTCTCAAAAACGCGATTTGAAATCGCTGTTGTTTCTGCCGCCACAAACTACCTTGTAATGTAACCAATCATGTCAACGTGTGATCATTAACGAGTGGACCTCTGAGCTGGTGTGAGTAAGTTACAGATACTCTATCTGTAACTAGATAGAATTTAATTTAAGCTATTATAAGGCATGACGATTTTTTTTTTCAAGGAAAAAACTTTTAAATATGTCCTTTTGGTGATCAAAGGTGAGTTTTAAGGGATAAAATGATTGACTATGGGGACTTTAAATGCTGAGGTCAGGCAGTTCATATTTAAATCAGTGCTGGCTGACTCAATGACCTGAGAGTATAACCGTTTGTCTTGAAATGCCACAAACTATCCTGGCAGAGAAACAGATGTCCATGGGGGAAAGAAAGTCACATAAACATAAAGCATCTATAAACAATATGAAAAACACGGCGCCTCCTAGTGGTCTAACCCTAACACTACCCCAGACCTAAACCTACCCAAAACCGAAGCGTGTTATATTGACGCTAAAGGGTGCCATGTGCGTTGGATATAGACGCTTTGTCAAAAGAGTCAATATATTACGCTTTGGGATGAGAATGCGTTGGCTATATCTTGTCTAATTGTGTGACACATCTGAAAAACACAACATTATGGTTCCATACTGTCACTGATTGCACATGATTACTATAGGTTTATATTGGAGAATAATACTATTGTATAATAAATATAGGAAATAATCATATTGTAGCCACCCTGGTTGCCTTTGAAATCCCTTTATAGCATACTGATCTCTGCTTAACTTCCATTGATCTTACCACTATTGAAAAGCTCGATGAAGTCCAGAGCATGCTTCAGTATCGTCCTCATGGACTCAAATACATTGCTTCTCAAAACCCCCTGTGGCTGAGGGCCCACCTCAAGACCTGCAATAGAAACACATCTATATAAGTCAGTGGTTCTCAACTGGTGGGTCATAACCATAGACTGTAAAAAATAGGTCATAACCCAACAAAGGGTCACAGGTCTATTCTGATAGGATAACAGACAGCAGTGTAAAACCATGTTAAATGAGGTGCAACTGTTACGGTAACACTTTACAAGAAGGGTGCACTAATAAGCATTAATTCATGCTTAATTATCCACAGATAATTATGAGTTTATATATGATTCAGGAAGAACTAAACCATTCACTAATGATTACCGCATCAGACACAAATAAAGAGTCTATCTGATTAATAGATAAAGTAATATTTGAATTGCTATTAATTAAACATTTAATCATATATTATTCCTTAACAACATATAGTATTATCTAAGTATAAATTAATGTGTTAACCATAATGGGTCAAAGCCATGCATTTTAACTTCTAGTTGTCTGCTTTAATTAATCATTAGCTAATGATTTGCAAATATATCATGTTATGACTTTACTTGTTGAGGCACATGACTATTAACTCATTATTAAGTAATATGGCACTAGGTTTATGGATTTTGACATCCCCATGTACAGTGGAATCCTTGTTGTAAACTGCTTGATATTGAAATCCATGGCTTAGCGTGGATGTCAAAACCAAAATGACATATTACTTACTTAATAATGAGTTAATAGTCATGTGCCTCAAGTTATAACATAATGATATATTTGCAAATAAACTTGCCATGTAAGATGTAGCTTCCATCTTTACAGTGTAAAGATGACTATTTGTTGATGTTGATAAAATGATATTGGCAACAGTCTATTGTATTCTGATTGAAGCTATTGGTTAAATTAAAAGTACTGTGATATTAAACTATTCAGCAGTCCAAATATTAAGCAGATTTGGGCTGCTGAATATAGTCCAACGCCGTGGTACAACGAGCACATCCAGGCCCTTAAGAGAGCAGCCAGAAAATGGAGCGCAACTGAAAAAACAAAACTAGAAGTATTTCGCTTTTCATGGAAGGAGAGCTCGATTGCATACAGAGATGTCTTAAAAGCTGCTAGATCTGCTTATTTTTCAACCCTATTAGAAGAAAATAAACAAAACCCGAGGTATTTATTTGAAACAGTGGCTAAACTAACGAAAAATAAAGTCTCAAGCCCAGAAGTTTCCAAGCAGCACAGCAGTAATGACTTTATGAACTTCTTCACTTATAATATCAGGGAGAAAATTATAACTATGCAACCATCTACTACAGCATCGCATCAGGGAGTGCATTGTAGTCTCCCTAAGGAAAAATTTGATTCATTCATTACTATAGGAGAGGAAGAATTTTTTTAACTCGTTAAATCATCTAAATCGACAACATGTATATTAGACCCTATACCAACTAAGGTAATGAAAGAGATGCTTCCAGAGGTCAAAGATCCTCTTCTTAATATCATTAATTCATCTTTGTCATTAGGATACGTACCAAAAAGTTTTAAGCTGGCTATGATTAAACCGCTTGTTAAAAAAACACAAATTGATCCTACAGAATTAGTCAATTGCCCGATCTTGAATCTACCTTTTCTGTCAAAGATACTAGAAAAGGCAGTATCTTCACAACTATGTTCCTTTTTAGAAAGAAATGGTATCTGTGAGGATTTTCAGTCAGGATTTAGACCGGACCATAGTACTGAGACAGCTCTCATTGGAGTCACAAATGATTTGCTCTTATCATCCGATCGTGGTTGTATCTCTCTATTAGTGTTACTCGATCTTAGTGCTGCATTTGTTACCATCGACCACAACATTCTTTTAAATAGACTCGAAAATTATGTTGGCATTAGTGGAATTGCATTAGCATGGTTTAAATCATACTTATCTGACCGTTATCAGTTTGTAGTAATAAATGAAGAAATGTCTTATCGATCACAAGTTCAGTATGGCGTAGCACAAGGCTCAGTACTAGGACCGTTACTGTTCACTCTGTACATGCTACCCTTAGGAGATATCATTAGGAAACATGTCATTAGTTTTCACTGTTATGCTGATGATACGCAGCTCTATATTTCTTCACGCCCTGACGAAACTTACCAATTCACAAAATTAACGGAATGCATAGCTGATATAAAAAATTGGATGACAAGTAACTTCCTAGTACTTAATTCTGAAAAAAACAGAGATTCTAATTATTGGACAAAAAATGTCCTCACGTAATAACCTAGAATACTGTCAAACATTTACTGTCGTCGGTTAGGAACCTGGGTGTGCTCTTTGATAGCAATCTTTCATTTGAAAGTCACGTGACTAGTATCTGTAAAACCGCATTTTTCCATCTTAAAAATATATCTAAATTACGTCATATGCTCTCATTGACAAAAGCGGAACAGTTAGTTCATGCGTTCATGACATCAAGGCTAGATTATTGTAATGCTCTACTGGGTGGTTGCCCTGCACGCTTAATAAACAAATTACAGCTGGTCCAAAACGCAGTAGCTCGAGTTCTTACCAGAACCAGGAAGTATGACCATATTAGCCCGGTTCTGTCAACACTGCATTGGCTTCCTATTAAACATTGTATAAATTTTAAAATATTGGGGAACACTTTGGGGAACCGGGAACACTTCCCATAAATCCTGATGTACTTGTTACATCATAAGAAGAATGGCATCTACGCTAATATGTCTCTTTGTTTATCCCGAGGTTTACTGCAGTCCGCCGGATCCAGGCCGTATCCAGATCTGATGAAGGACCTGCGTCTGGACGCGACGACAACGCAGTCCTGAAGTGTCACTAGTCCCTCCCCTGTGAAGGCCTCCTTCCCTTTACCTCTGTACAAATCATCGTTTTCGGGATAATTCCGGTTCACGTGGCCACGTAAAAACGTTAAATTCTGTATTATAAATTTTAAGGCCAGACAAGTAGTTTGTTGAGGGTTGGTTTTTTCACTGTATATGCCTGCGCACATATATTCAAACGTGCATACCTATAGAATGAACTCTTAATGCGCATGTGCACGCTATCAGCGTTCTCACAGTTTCGCGTTTTTAAAGTTTGCGTAGAGAGAACTTAAGAGTTTTCTGTTAAAACGGTGTCGTGTTAGCGGCCCCTAAGTTAATAACTAATGATCGTTGCGACGGAAGTGAATCAATCATAACTAACTTTAACTGGAAAATAACTTTATTCTAGAGCTGCCATAAAGCCAATACAATCTGTTACTTTAATTTCCTATTATCACTGTAAAGCCGCTTTGGAACAATCTACATTTTTAAAAGCGCTATATAAATGAAGATGACTTGACTTGAATATCCCAGGACTTTGTACTTACCAATTGGGTGTTTGGCCACAGAACGTGTGGTTGAATACTTCAGCTGTGGGTGTTCATTTAATAGTACTGAACAGGTGTGGGGGGCCATAACTTTCTGTAAGGGGGGAAGAGCACAGGTGTCTGTGTAAAAATGATTTGCTTAAGCCCTTATTTTATGACATTAAGCAAAATCTGGGTATTGACCGTTTGCAGGCCCCTCCCACAAAACGGCCATTGTCCAATCACACATCATAGTAACCGTTACTATGTGAGCAGGTCCGTCAAACATTGACTCCAAGCAAGATGGTGAAGCGGTGCGCCCACGGCGTTTGTAAATCGGACACTAGGTACTCCGAGAGATTGTCTGGAGGAGTTGTGTTCTTTCTGTTTCCAAAGCCGAAAACACAATGTGAGCGGTGCCTACAATGGATAAAACAGTGTGGACGGCCCCACTCCCAGTTAAATGTGTCGTACATGGTTAACTCGCGTGCAGCGTACGTGAGACTGAGACACTGAGATTAGTCAAAGAAACATGGAGAAAGCAGATCAAGAGGATCCACAAAGGAATTACGTTTTCTAAAGGGTTGTTGTTAACATGATATTCTCGGGGAAAATGAGCAGCAGTCAACTAGCAGTGCAGCACCCGTAGACTACAGTTTAGAGGAGTGCACGCTCGCAATGGGGAAAGCATGAAGCTTACTTGACAACATCAGTTCATATATCAATATCGTAACGAATAGAAATAACCTTAAATAATGTATGGTTATCTGCATCTTCCGTCTCTTATTTATAGTTACTTTTTAAACACGAAAATCGCATTCAGCATGACACGCAAGCGGTTGCCGTGGTAATGAACAACCTGCTTGTTAAAGCGAATGTATAATCCTGTATCTGAGGCAAAATTACTAAATATGCAGCGCGAGTTATATATTTCTAACTCCAAACAATTAGCCACTGAACCAGCTTATAAAATCTTCTTCAAGGCTGTGCTGGTTGCATTTGAGGTACAGGTCATGGGGTATAAGCATTCGCCTCGATAGTAGTCGTGTCTCCTTCATTGCGTATTTTTATATTTTGAATAACTGTTATGTCCCTCCACTGCATATTGTAACCGTGTTTGACCATTTGTTTGACGGGCGTAGTAACAATAACTAGGGGGCGTGGCTTTTGCGAACGGTCAATTGGTATGTTTTGGTAAATAATTTAATGCTCAGTATACATGAATATCAGTCACATGACCTCTTACGTCATCCGCTCTTTTTCCAGTTGACTGCCGCCATCTTGAGTACCTGCCGAGTACTGTCTACAATACTGACGGCATTAGCTAGCAAGCAGATTTTCTCTCAATTTTCTCTGTTTGTTTCACTTTATACATAACCAACTTTGTTTATGTAAACCCTGTGTGTATTTGACAGTATTCGCGCAATAAGACTAGAAAGATAACTTAGTTCAGTAACCTGTCGCTGTTGTTAGACAGGCTTAGTGCGCGTGCGCTTCGGGTGTACGCGCTCAGAAAAGCGCTCGTTAGAACCGCGCATCAACACGTGAATGACTTGTTAGCACATGCAAATAATGAACTTTTGTGAACTGCAGATTTTGACTGAATGCGCGCAAAGTGCGCTCCCTTAATAATTCCTAAAAAGCTGACATCAGTTAATCGCGATCTCACACATCTCTGTTAATATCAATTAAGCTGACTGCACAATGAATCTTTCATAATATATACACTTTGTTTGTTATAATTAGAGGATTTGTCAGCATACAGAATTCAGCTCTGAACAAAAAGTCAGTTTTGAGCAGTGAGGGGAGTCTATCTTAAAGGAGAACTCCGGCGCAAAATGAACCTTTGGTCTAATAAAACATTGTTACCTAGTCAACCGTTCTCTGAGATTTGTTTTCATGATAATCGAATGTAAAGAGTTTTATCTCTAAAAACTGTTTAGTGTATAACGCTAGTAATGGGGGCATATAATAAGTAAAAAGAAATCGCTAGTTTATACCACTAACAAGGCTCAAAATAGCCCCACACTAACACAGTAACATAATGAGGGTCCCTACATGCAAAACGGAGCATTGAGAACTTTGTAAGTGTACAGACCGTTTAATAAGAAGATACTTTATAAAGACAGTCCACTTCGTGTTTACAGACAGGAGCCATCTTTGGAAAACAGTCTCGACTAATCAAACCACGAACACCATTCATACAGTTCAGAAGTTCACTGAACTTCATACAGTTCAGCTCACTTAGCAAGTCGTTCGTGGTTTGATTAGTCGAGACTGTTTTCCAAAGATGGCTCCTGTCTGTATACACGAAGTGGACTGTTTTTATAAAGTATCGTCTTATTAAACGGTCTGTACACTTACAAAGTTCTCAATGCTTCGTTTTGCATGTAGGGACCCTCATTATGTTACTGTGTTAGTGTGGGGCTATTTTGAGCCCTTGTTAGTGGTATTAACTAGCGATTTCTTTTTACTAATTAAATGCCCCCCTTACTAGCGTTATACGCTAAACAGTTCTCTTACGAGAGTATCTCTCGTACTGCGTAATATCTTACGCTATGGGGAAAACCTCTTTTCCTCGAGATATTGAAGCCAAAAATTATCCTTAATTTTTAATCAATGCAAAACGCTTTGCGGCAGCAAGCAGACATAGGCGAGGCGGCTCGCGCGCCTATTGGCTGCTCTGTGGCAAAAGCAGCAGCCTATCGAGAGCGGCTCTGCGTGACGTCTTGACCAATGGGGGCACTTCGCGCCCATTTCGTCACGTCCCGCCAGAAAGGGCGTGGTCTTGCCCTATAAAGCCGGCCGATAGCTGATACAAACTGATTTTCATCTCTTCAGCGAAGCCTCACGCATTGCTGGATCCGGAGTGAGAAGCCGTGCCGTCGACGCAAGCCTTCAGCGGGACGAGCCCTCGAGTCTGGAGTCGCTGGCCTTCACCTAGCCGCCTTCAGCCGCCGTACCTGCTGCGCTTTCCGGCGCCCATATCCTTTACTCTGCTGAGAGTGTTTGTTCGCCGTTGCAACTCACACTTCTCCTAACTCTAAAAGAGCAAGCATCTTTTTAAAGATGCCTTCCTGTGGCTCGTGCCGAGCCCAACTCAGCGACGGGGACCGCCATGTCATCTGCGTTTCCTGCCTGGGTGAAGATCACGCGGCTCTCGCGCTCGCCGACGGCGGATGCCCTCATTGCGAGCTGCTGCCTATGGTGACTCTGAGGACTCACCTGGCATCATTCTCAGAGCCTGCACTTCTGCCCGCTGTGGTACCGCGCCGCAAAAAGCGCCGTGCTCAGCGCGCACCCGAGCTCTCTCCTGCCCGCCAAAGCTCGCCGGTTCGCCCGCCAGCTTCGCCGGCATCGCTCGAGTCGCTCACGGATGGACAACGGCCGCCGTCTGCCGCCGCGTCCGCCATTGAGCTTGACGAACCTACCGAGGCATGTTCTCTCCTGGCATCGGATAGTGAGGACTGGGCGAGCTCTGTGGACCTCTACCCGCCAGCCCCGTGGGAGACGAGCCGGCATTGAAGCAGAGCTGATGCGTCTGCTCTCTCAAGCCGTGGAGACCATCGGCCTCGACTGGGAGGCGCCTGCGCCACCACCGCGCAACAGACTCGACGGTCGCTTTCTCAGAAAGGATGAAGCCCCGTCACAGTCGAGATCCGCGCCCTTCCTCCCTGAACTTCACGAGGAAGTCGCGAAATCGTGGAACGCCCCCTTCTCCGCCAGGCTGCGTACCTCTTCCTCTGCTGCATTCTCCTCTGTAGACGGTGCGAAAGATAGAGGTTACCTTTCCATTCCTCCTGTGGAAACGGCTGTAGCGTCCCATCTTTGCCCGCCCTCCGCTGGACGGCGCGCTCAGACGGCGCTACCATCTAAAGCCTGCCGAGTGACGTCAGCCATGCACGGACGCGCTTACACCGCCGCCGGGCAAGCAGTTTCAGCGCTGCACACAATGGCTATTCTGCAGATCTTTCAAGCCGACCTTCTCCAAAAATTGGACGAGGAAGGACCGGGAGCGATCTGCGTGGTGGACTTAAGAAGAGCTACAGACCTCGCTCTACGCGCTGCAAAGGCCGCCGCACAGGCCGTGGGGCGGAACATGGCCTTTCTCACCGTGGCTGAGAGACATTTGTGGCTGACGCTGTCCGAGATGACGGAAGCTGAGCGCTCCGTGTTCCTCGACGCACCCATTTCGCCAACGGGCCTTTTCGGATCTGCCGTCAAAGATTTCGCGGACAGATTCGTCGAGGTGCAGAAAACATCGCAGGCCATGAAACACTTCCTGCCGAAGCGCTTGAGCTCCGCTACAGGCCGCCCGAAACAGCCGCCTGGCCGAAGCTCTCAGCCGCAGCCTGAACCACCCGCCGCCGCCGCTTCACAGCGCCGCCAGGCCCGAGACCAAAGACCGCGCTCTCGCTCTGCTGGACGCCGCCCCCCTCAGCGCGGGCCGAGGATTGAGATCAAGCCCGAGGTCTCAAAGCCTTCCTAGCCTCTCTAGGAAAGCGACGGTGTTCAAATCCCGCTGCGGCCGGATTTCCACCCAAACTTCTCGCTCGTTCAGTTCCAAGCAATGCGACTGTCCCAGTGTATTTTGCAGTGAGCAAGCCAGCTCCAGAGCCCGCTTGCCTGCACACAAAAGCCGTTTTTACGGCTACCCAGATAAATCCAATAAAGAGTGCATTTTCTGGTGTTCCGGCCACGGCCGATGGTGTTATGAGTGTTGTAAGAATGCCCACGTCCCAGTGCCCATTCCCACACCAGACACAGCCCGCCACGGTGCAGGGCTAGCACAAATAAAATCGACTCATGTCGATTGTGCAAACAATGTAGTAAACGCGCCCACGTCACAGTGCCCGCTTACACTACACGATGCGTGTCCCTTGGTTTCTGTAAAAACGAAACTAACACACATTCAGTCGGCGCGAGCCGACAGTGTTTTCAGTGCAGTAAATGTGCCCGCCATCCCGCGCCCACATTCTCTCACAGACACGCCGAACCCCACGGGTTTCGCCCCGCTCGCCTTCTCTGCACTACCAGTCATAGAAAAGCTGAGCGCGGCCAGGCTGCCCGCTGTGATCAGCGCGCCCCCCGCCTCGCACGCTGTAAACACGGCGTTGAGTTCTCAGCACACCGAGGCTCTCGAGCCGCCGTCAGGCCGCGGCCAGAGCCCGGATTTCATTCTACCTCTAGCTATTCACGCAGATGCGTGGTCAAAGCTCCCCGGGGTATCAGAATAGGTCCTGAACACTATAAAGAGAGGCTATTCGCTACAGTTCGCTCGACGTCCCCGCCGTTATACGGCGCGCGTCGAGACGACGGTGAAAAACGAAGTATCTCATCTACTTATGTCAATAGATCTGAAAGACGCCTATTTCCAGATACAAATAGCGTCACATCACAGGCGATTCTTGAGATTCGCCTTCGAGGGCCAGGCATATCAATACACAGTCCTGCCGTTCGGCCTGTCCCTAGCACCCCGTACATTCACGAAGTGCATGGACGCAGCTCTCGCACCTCTGAGACTCCGGGGCATGCGAGTTTTGAACTACTTGGACGATTGGCTGATTCTAGCTTGATCTCAATCAGAGCTCATAGAACACAGGGCCACATTACTCGAGCACCTCGAGAGTCTGGGCCTCACAGTCAATTGGGCGAAAAGCTCGCTGTCTCCCAGTCAGAAAATTTCTTTTCTGGGAACAGTGCTGGACTCGCTATCCATGACAGCACGCCTGTCGCCGGAGCGCGGACTAGACATTCAGCGCGTCGCGAAATCCTTCCGCCACGGCTCTATAGTCCCGCTCAAAAGGTTTCAGAAAATGCTGGGCCTGATGGCCTCAGCAGCCTCTGTACTCCAGTTGGGCCTGCTTCGTATGCGCCCACTGCAGATGTGGCTAAAAGCGCGAGTTCCGCCCCGGGCATGGACCGCTGGTCTGTTTCGCCTCAGGGTCGATCTAGAGTGCATCTCAGCCCTGAAACCTTGGAAGGTAACCGACTGGTATCAGTCAGGTGTGAGTCTGGGGACCGCCTCGAGTGTGCAGGTGGTGTCTACGGACGCCTCCACCTCGGGATGGGGAGCGCTGCTCAAGGGCAGACCGTTCGCTAGCCTGTGGTCAGAACGGGAAAAGCTCCTTCACATAAACTGCTTGGAAATGATAGCAGTCGACAAAGCGCTACGGTGCTTCTGTCCCCAGATAAAAGGTCACCACGTCCTGGTCCGGTCGGACAACATGTCAGTGGTGGCAAACATAAATCGCCAGGGCGGAGTCAGGTCCCGAAACCTTTACAGGTTGACGGAACGCATTCTGGTCTGGGCTCAGCACAACCTGCTCTCGGTGAGAGCAGCGCATGTGCCTGGTCACCTGAATGTGGGACCAGACAGGCTGTCCAGAAACAATGTCCCAGCAGGGGAATGGTCGCTGCACCCGCAGACGATCCAACTGCTGTGGGAAACGTTCGGCAGTGCGCAGGTGGACCTGTTCGCGTCCCACGAAAACGCTCAGTGTCCGAACTTCTTCTCGAAGAGCAGGGATGCGCTAGCCCATGTCTGGCCCCGCGTTCCCCTATATGCTTTTCCCCCTGTCTCGCTCCTGCCTCAAGTGTTGGAACGAATCAGGGAAAACGGATGCCCAGTGCTGCTCGTGGCCCCGCTCTGGACAAACCAGACCTGGTTCCCAGTCCTGATGCAGCTGGCCAGCACTGCCCCGTGGCCTGTACCACTGAGGAGAGACCTCCTCTCTCAGGCAGGGGGCTCGATTTGGCATCCTCGCCCGGATCTGTGGTCCCTGCACGCATGGGCCATCAACGGGTACCCGCTAACCTCCCGGAGGGAGTGTTAAACACGATCACGCAGGCTAGAGCTCCGTCTACTCGACGGCTCTATTCCTCGAAATGGTCTGTGTTCTCTGCTTGGTGTCAAGCTCAGGGCTTTTCACCCGTAGACTGCAGGGTTACGGAAGTGCTTTCCTTCCTTCAAGAGCTGCTGGATAAGGGCAGAACCCCATCCACGCTCAAAGTATACGTGGCGGCCATAGCAACGTTTGCAAAACCGGCGTCTGGCCAGCCACTGGGGAAGAACGACCTAGTCGTGCGTTTCCTCAGGGGAGCTCGGAGATTGAACCCTCCCAGGCCCCCTTCAGTCCCGATGTGGGACCTTTCCACGGTGTTGGAAGCTATGAAAGGTGCCCCATTCGAGCCAATCCATTTGTCAGACATGAAACATCTGTCTTTCAAAACGGTGTTTCTCATGGCTCTCGCTTCAGTGAAGCGCGTAGGGGACTTACAAGCGCTTTCGGTAAGTGCGTCATGTATGGAGTTTGGGCCTAATGACTCAAAGGTCATACTCAAACCTAGGCACGGGTACGTGCCGAAATCCCACAACACACCGTTCAGGGCCCAGGTGATTTCCCTGTCCGCCCTTCAGGTTCTCAATGAGGAGAAGGACGCGAGTCTCCTTTGCCCCGTCAGGGCACTAAGAGCTTATGTGTCCCGCTCGTCTGGTTTTAGACAGACTGAACAGCTTTTCGTTTTGTTTGGCGGACGTTCTAAGGGACTTGCCGCATCAAAACAGAGCCTATCCAGATGGATAGTTGATGCCATAGCGCTGGCTTACACTTCTAAGGGCCTGCAGTGTCCCCTGGGTGTCAGAGCGCACTCCACGAGAGGCGTGGCCTCTTCGTGGGCATGGTCTAGCGGGATTACCCTGCAAGATATTTGTACGGCTGCGGGCTGGGCCTCGCCGTCTACATTTATAAAATACTATAACCTGGAGGTCCCCGCCTTCCAAGCTAAGCTTTTGGCGGTCTAGAATTCAGTGCGATCTGCCCCGCTGTGTCGGCCCAGATGCTGAGTTTGGCCTGCGTATCGCTCACTGACTGATACAGCAGCTCCACGAGTGTCGACACATGTATGGCCACCCAGTTTAGGCTGAAAGTGTTTTCACCCTGACTACGTGGTATAATATCTATATGATTAGCTCCTCTGGATGCTATTTTATAAGGAATGACGCTTCTAGCCCCTCTTCCTTCACTCTTTGTGAGTCTATGGTGATTATGCACTACATGCGCCCCGGGCCTCTGCCCTTGGGACTTTGGTGTTGGATCCCTGTATGCACGGCGTGTTACACTGTGTTCCCCATAGCGTAAGATTTTACGCAGTACGAGAGATACTCTCGTAAGATAACGTACTCGGTTACTAACGTAACCTCTGTTCTCTCTAGAGAGGGAACGAGTACTGCGTATCTTGCTGTGCTTACAATGTGCTCTGGTTCGCTTCGGCGATGAAAACCAGTTTGTATCAGCTATCTGCCGGCTTTATAGGGCGAGACCACGCCCTTTCTGGCGGGACGTGACGAAATGGGCGCGAAGTGCCCCCATTGGTCAAGACGTCACGCAGAGCCGCTCTCGATAGGCTGCTGCTTTTGCCACAGAGCAGCCAATAGGCGCGCGAGCCGCCTCGCCTATGTCTGCTTGCTGCCGCAAAGCGTTTTGCATTGATTAAAAATTAAGGATAATTTTTGGCTTCAATATCTCGAGGAAAAGAGGTTTTCCCCATAGCGTAAGATATTACGCAGTACTCGTTCCCTCTCTAGAGAGAACAGAGGTTACGTTAGTAACCGAGTACGTTTTTAGAGATAAAACTCTTTACATTCGATTATCATGAAAACAAATCTCAGAGAACGGTTGACTAGGTACCAATGTTTTATTAGACCAAAGGTTCATTTTGCGCCGGAGTTCTCCTTTAAATGCTTCTGATTGACCTTTGCGTTGAAGAAATCAACACATATGTCTGTGATTGGCTACATCGCTCAACGCTGCAAACGTGTTTTAAAAGGAAACTCTGGCCTGTACATCGTTTCGATTTTGTTTTAGTTCTTGTTGCTTTTCTGCAAAAATGTATTAGTTTTTATATGTTTTATTCATATGTTTTATTCATAGATATTTCTAGTTTGCGGGAGTCCCGCGAATCGTTTTATTCTCCCTGCAACACGCACACACACAGAGTGAGTGCATTACCGCCCGCGCTCGCACTCGGCCATCAAATCCAGTCCCGCGCCGCACTCTTTTGCGTTGGGAGTGCACGTCTCTAGATCAAGGGCCCGGCCCGAGGATAGTGACAGGAAATATCGGCCCGCAAATTCGGGCTCGGCCAGAGAATAAGCTCTAGTTCCTTTGCGACTGACGTATCGATCTTGCCGAATCAGGTACACAAGATGGCGGAAGACAAGTTTTAGAATTGAGTGACGTCAGTGAGGAGACGTTGGTGACATCATCTGATATTCATGTATAGGATACATGCAACAAATGTTTTGGGTCGGTAAGATTTAAATGATTTAGTTTTAGTGAGATTTAAATTTTTGAAAGTAATCACTTATTCTCACCAAGGCTGCATTTATTTGATCAAACAAATTAAAAACAGAAATATTTCAAAATAATACAATTTAAAATAACTATTTTGCATTTTAATATATTTTAAAATGTAATTTATCCCTGTGATGGCAAAAAGCTGAATTTTCACGATTCTTTGATTAATTGAAAGTTCAAAAGGACAGCATTTAAAATAGAAATCTTTTGTAACATTATAAACGTCTTTACTGCCACTTTTGTCCTTGCTGAATAAAATTCTTAATCTTTTTTTTAAAAAACAATGAAATTATAATGCTAAATTGATTTAATAACATTGTACAGTATAATTGTAACTAGTTTCTTACTTTGATATAATGCACCATCTGAAGGTTAAAGAGGTCTGTTGAGCTTTCCAGAATGAGGGTGGAGCCCATGTTTGAGGTCGTGTTGTGAAGGTCAAAGATGACATCATATGCATCTGAGCTTCCTTTGGGTCCGAACTTCTGATTGATTTCCTTGGCCCTCTGGACTTCATATGGTAGCCCTTGAACATCTTGAGCACTGTGGATGGAAAGTGCCTTATCAATATTAATTAACAATTACAGTAATAATGAACAAAACACAAATAATTAAATTAACAAAACAATCTCTTTTCAATACATAATGCAAACAGAGCAATACATTTACTTAATTTAGCACTTAGTGACTTAAATAAACATGTGCCAGCAAATTATAAGATGCTTAAGTTCAAATCTACTAAGGACTTTGAAACCTTTGCCCTAAAATAGCATACAGGAAACTGGGTAGGTGCTGGTGTTAAAATCTCTTAAATAGCAGGTAGGTGCGGATGTATCATTAACTCTTTGAACAGATAAGTGAATGACAAAAGGATCAGCTATTACATAAATAATAACTAATTTACTTATTTAAAGACAAATCTAAACTAGAGACTTGAGGGACCATTATGACTTAGATTAATATTTTATTTACTGCTCCAACTGCTGAGTTAGAAAAAAAAAGGTTTCAGAAATATTCCTATTCCACAAAACTACCAAATTTATACACTTTGTTGCTACTAGGAATAAAATAAACTACAGAGATACATATAACAAGTACACAAAACAAGAGAGGACAGAAAAATAATGCAGAGAATTTCATCAAGCTTTCCAGCTGGTTAAAAAAAAAATCATAAAAACAATCAACATGTGATCATCTGTTGTGTATGTTTTGCAGCGCCTCACGGTACATTGCATTTGCAGTGTGTCACGAACGGTGCTTTTCCTGCTGCCTTTACCTTTGGTTCCCGCAGCCCAGGAACAACTAAGAACTGCAAAATATTTCACCAAACATAACCTTCGCTGTGCCTATAATCTCATTCGCATCCGAGAGGGGGACGAATGGAAGACGGCATTCTCCACCAGCAGTGGGCACTATGAATATTTGGTCATGCCGTTTGGATGGGAACAACAGTCCGTCAGTCTTCCAATCCTTCATCAATGACGTATTCATAGACATGTTGTCACATGTCTGTCCTGTCTTGTGATGCACATGGGTGTTTTGTTATGTTGAGCCATGTGCTCTTGTCATTGTCTGATCCCTCCCCCTCGTTACCTGATTATTGTTTGAGTTCTCCCACCTGTTCCCTCTTGATTTGTTCCCTTCTTAAGTCTCCTCTTGTTTGCAGTCCTTGTCGGATCGTTGTCTAATGTCTCCCGTTCCCCGTGATCCTCTGTTCAGGTTGTTGTTTATTGTTATTCATTGTGTTTTCCCCCTTGTGGGTTTTGGTTTGTGTTTGTTTATTTTATAATTAAACTTTATGTTCTCCTGCACTTGAGTCCTCACACTTTGTTGTCTTACCCATTCCGTGACATAACGATACAACCAACATGAGGACTCAGCGGAGAAGAGGGGCCAAGCCAGAGACGGTTCATGTTTCGTCTGCCCAGCCAGAGACTGTTCACGTCACGTCTGCCCAGCCAGAGACTGTTCACGTCACGTCTGCCAAGCCAGAGACTGTTCACGTCACGTCTGTCAAGTCAGAGACTGTTCACGTCACGTCTGTCAAGTCAGAGACTGTTCACGTCACGTCTGTCAAGTCAGAGACTGTTCACGTCACGTCTGTCAAGTCAGAGACTGTTCACGTCACGTCTGTCAAGTCAGAGACTGTTCACGTCTCGTCTGCCCAGCCAGAGACTGTTCACGTCACGTCTGCCCAGCCAGAGACTGTTCACGTCACGTCTGCCCAGCCAGAGACTGTTCACGTCTCGTCTGCCCAGCCAGAGACTGTTCACGTCACGTCTGCCCAGTCAGAAACTGTGCAGGTCCCGTCTGCCCAGTCTGAGACAGATCAGGAGATGCCCATTTGTGTGGCCGCCAAGGCTATGCTGGACTATCTGGAGCGTCTGGCTCGGATCCTGGACATGCCGGTGGATGCTCCGGGGCCGAAGGCAGAGCCAGTGTCTGCTGTTCCTGAGCCGGAGCCAGTGTCTGCTGTTCCAGAGCCGGAGGCAGAGCCAGTGCCTGTTCCAGAGCCGGAGCCAATGTCTGTTCCAGACCCAGTGTTTGTTTCTGTGTTTGTGTCTGTCCTTGTGACCATTTCTGTTCTAGTGACTGTTCCTGAGCCGGTGTTTGCAGTTCCTGAGCCGGTGGCTGCTGCTCCAGAGCCAGTGCCTGTTCCAGAGCCGGAGCCGGAGGCAGAGCCAGTGCCTGTTCCAGAGCCGGAGCCGGAGGCAGAGCCAGTGCCTGTTCCAGAGCCGGAGCCGGAGCCGGAGGCAGAGCCAGTGCCTGTTCCAGAGCCGGAGCCGGAGCCGGAGCCGGAGCCGGAGCCGGAGCCGGAGGCAGAGCCAGTGCCTGTTCCAGAGCCGGAGCCGGAGCCGGAGCCAGTGCCTGTTCCAGAGCCGGAGCCGGAGGCAGAGCCAGTGCCTGTTCCAGAGCCGGAGGCAGAGCCAGTGCCTGTTCCAGAGCCGGAGCCGGAGGCAGAGCCAGTGCCTGTTCCAGAGCCGGAGCCGGAGCCGGAGGCAGAGCCAGTGCCTGTTCCAGAGCCGGAGCCGGAGCCGGAGCCGGAGCCAGTGCCTGTTCCAGAGCCGGAGCCGGAGGCAGAGCCAGTGCCTGTTCCAGAGCTGGAGGCAGAGCCAGTGCCTGTTCCAGAGCCGGAGCCGGAGCCGGAGGCAGAGCCAGTGCCTGTTCCAGAGCCGGAGCCGGAGCCGGAGGCAGAGCCAGTGCCTGTTCCAGAGCCGGAGCCGGAGCCGGAGGCAGAGCCAGTGCCTGTTCCAGAGCCGGAGCCGGAGGCAGAGCCAGTGCCTGTTCCAGAGCCGGAGCCGGAGCCGGAGCCGGAGCCAGTGCCTGTTCCAGAGCCGGAGCCGGAGGCAGAGCCAGTGCCTGTTCCAGAGCCGGAGGCAGAGCCAGTGCCTGTTCCAGAGCCGGAGCCGGAGCCGGAGGCAGAGCCAGTGCCTGTTCCAGAGCCGGAGCCGGAGCCGGAGGCAGAGCCAGTGCCTGTTCCAGAGCCGGAGCCGGAGCCGGAGCCGGAGCCAGTGCCTGTTCCAGAGCCGGAGCCGGAGGCAGAGCCAGTGCCTGTTCCAGAGCCGGAGCCGGAGGCAGAGCCAGTGCCTGTTCCAGAGCCGGAGCCGGAGGCAGAGCCAGTGCCTGTTCCAGAGCCGGAGCCGGAGGCAGAGCCAGTGCCTGTTCCAGAGCCGGAGCCGGAGGCAGAGCCAGTGCCTGTTCCAGAGCCGGAGCCGGAGGCAGAGCCAGTGCCTGTTCCAGAGCCGGAGCCGGAGGCAGAGCCAGTGCCTGTTCCAGAGCCGGAGGCAGAGCCAGTGCCTGTTCCAGAGCCGGAGCCGGAGGCAGAGCCAGTGTCTGTGTTTGTTCTTGTGGATATTACAGTTCTTGTGCCTGTGTCTGTGTTTGTTCTTGTGGATATTACAGTTCTTGTGTCTGTTCCCGAGAGGTCTTCCCCGCCCTGGCCGCCTGAGGGGTCTTCCCCGCCCTGGCCGCCCGAGGGGTCTTCCCCGCCCTGGCCGCCCGAGGGGTCTTCCCCGCCCTGGACTCTGTGTTTCGCCCTGGCTGCCCGATAGACTCTGTTTCGCCCTGGTCTGTCCCTCCCGTCCCGCCCTGGTCTGTCCCTCCTGTCCCCCCCCCCCCCTGGCCTGTCCCTCCTGTCCCGCCCTGGTCTGATGGAGCGTCTGGTAGCCGCTCCGTAGGGAGGGGGTTATGCCACATGTCTGTCCTGTCTTGGGATGCATGGTCTCACATTGCCATTGGCTTTATCACTAATATCACAGGGCAGTCGTGGCCTACTGGTTAGCAAGTCTGACTAGTAACCCAAAGGTTGCTGGTTTGATTCCAGTACTGGCAGGAAATAAACTACTAAACCCCTAAACTACTCTGCTCCTAATGTGTGTGGTTAAATGCAGAGGACTAATTCCAAGTATAGGTTATCATACTTGGAATAGTATCACATGTCACTTTCAACCCCACCATCTTAACTGTGGTTGATACCTTTTCTAAAGCATGTCGACTGATCCCATTACCCAAGCTACCCAAAGCCTTAGAGACTGCTCCTTCTGAACAGTATTTCTTTTCTACGGCCTACCTGAAGACATCGTCTCTGACCTGGTACCCAATTCACTTCTCGGTGAAAAGCGATGCGAAAAGTCTGGAAAGCGTTCTTCCAACAACTCAATGTTACCATAAGCCTCACTTCAGGGTACCATCCAGAGTCCAATGGCCAAACCGAAAGCTTGAATCAGGAAACCACACATTTTCTAAGGACGTACTGCCATCAGAATCAAACTGACTGGAGCCAGCATGTTGTCTGGGCTGAATACGCTCAAACCTGCCACTGGCCTTACACCTTTCCAATGCACTCTGGGATTTCAACCTCCTCTGTTTCCCTGGGAACAAGCTCATGTCTTCCTCCAACGAGCAGCAAGAAGGCAAAAGGAAAAAGCTTACTGGTATCGGTGCCCTAGCCCTGATTACCTTCCTAGCCAATGGGTGTGGCTATCAACGAGGGACCTTCGCCTCCGGCGGGTACCCTGCAAAAAAATCTGTCCCAGGTACGTTGGTCCCTTCAAAATTCTAAGAAAGTTCGTCTTCAGTTACCTGCTAATTAATGTGCTTTTCATGTCTCACTGCTCAAACCAGCTAGACAATCCTGGTGGAAGGTGAGGTGGTCTTTCTTGTACGAGAACATCTACTCCAATATCTAGTGGACTGGGAGGGGTATGGTCCAGAAGAACGGTCCTGGGTCAATGCTGAGGACATCTTCAACCCCACATTCATCAATGAATTTCATAGGACTCATCCGGAAAGACCTGCCCCTCGGCCACAAGGAAGACCCCGACGTCGAATGCCTCCTCGTGCCAGGAGTGGCGGTCTCACGGTGGTCCTGAGACTCCTCCCTCTCTCCAGCAGAGGGCTCCCTCACCTGAGTTTTAGTGAGACATTCTCTGGACTACAGTTCCCATAATCCCATACCTGGACTGATTGCCACACACCTGTTCCCATTCCCTGGGCTATTTAAGTGTTTTCTTCACTTTGTGTGAAGTCCTGTTTTGCCTTGG